CTAAGGAGATGAGGATGGAAAGGGAGACGGGGCCTCGACTGCTAAGGTGAAGGTGTGGAGCCTGTGGGTGGTGGGGAGCCTCGGAGGGCTTTAGAGCAGAAGAGTGTCTGGATGTGGTCTAAACAGTGAGTGGTTTGGAAGGTGAGTGGTCTGGCTTCCGTGGGGAGGAGACATATCTGACTATGGGTTAGAGTCTCTCCCACTGACTCTTGAGGGCTGCAGAGCATTTCCTTATTATTTCTCCCCCGGCCCATATCATGGGGGCTCCAGGACACACTGCCTTCTCATCTGGGCCTCCTTTTCTGCTTCCACTCTCTGCTGTGTCCCCTTCCATTATCCTGTCTGCCTTTGACCAGATGGTGGCCCCCAATCCTGACAGGGGTCCAGGACCCCTGTCTCCCTTCCCAGGGCCTCCCTGGTGTGTGTGATAGAGACAGCCCTGGGCTGAGATGGCGGGCTCAGGGCAAGTTTTCCTTCTTGTAATTTAACAGATGTCTCTTTAGTGCTTCCTGTGTGCCAGGTACTATTCTAATTGATACACACATAGTCATTCACTTAATCTTCGTACAACCTTGTGAGGTGTGAAGTATCTGCATTTTCTAGGTGGGGAAACTGAGGCCTGAAGAGGTTAAACAATTTGCCCATGGTTACAGCTAGTAAACGCCAGCCAGGTTCGAACCCAGATGCTCTGGCTGCAGAATCCAAGCTCTTCCGGGAGTGAAGGGTGGTCTGCAGCTCTCCTCCCTCTTCCCCCCTGCCCCTCCCCTTTCACCCTAGATCAAAATGGACTCACAGATGACAAAGCAGGCACTGAATGAAATCGAGACAAGGCACAACGAGATCATCAAACTGGAAACCAGCATCCGTGAGCTGCACGACATGTTTGTGGACATGGCCATGCTTGTGGAGAGCCAGGTACTGCCTCTGCCACAGGCCTTGGAGAACCTCACCCGGGTCCCCGGGATCCCCTCTTCCAGCCCAGCTCCCACCCCATCCTATGCATGTACCCTCTGCAGGGCGAAATGATTGACCGCATTGAGTACAACGTGGAACATTCCGTGGACTACGTGGAGCGAGCCGTGTCTGACACCAAGAAAGCTGTGAAATATCAGAGCAAGGCCCGGAGGGTGAGCCGGGGCAGGCGGGCCTGTGGAGCAGGTGGGCTGGAGCCGAGCGGGCGGGGCTGGGCTCAGGCCAGGGCTGAGGTGAGTGATGAAATCCCGCGAGAGGCCTTATCTCTGGTTCTGACCTCTTCCTTTTTCTGTTTTCTCTCCCCTCTTCTTTTTCCTCACACCCTCCTCCCCATCTGTCTGTCGGTTTGTGTGTCTCTTTACCTCTCTGTCTCTCTGTCTCCTCCCTCCCTCTCGCCCTTCCTGCCTGCAGAAGAAAATCATGATCATCATTTGCTGTGTGGTGCTGGGGGTGGTCTTGGCGTCATCCATTGGGGGGACGCTGGGCTTGTAGGCCCCCCACCCCTGTCCCTCCCAGACCCTTCCCCACCACATCGGGAGCAATACCCCCACCACCCCTTCACTCCATCCCCTGCTCCAGGCTCACCCTCAAGACAGACCCGGGCAGCACCCGCAACCTTTACCGCCTGTCAGACCCTGGAGTCCCTGGACCTCCCCCCCGCCATGGACCACCCCCCGCCCCCGCACGTAGATAGCAGCAGGCGTGATTACACGTGCACACCAACATGCATGCCGCCGGCACATGCTCGAGACGTGTGGACTCCCCAGCGTGTGTGTGTGTACGTGTGTAGATGTGTGTAGAAGCACCGAATCGCCCTCTCTGCCCCCACCTCAAGTCTGTGTGTCGTCTGAGCTTTCCCCCTTCCCCTGGGTTGTTGTGTAGACTGTGGCTGGGTGTGACACAGCAGCCATCAAGCCCCACTCTTCTGTCTTCTGTGAATAGGGGTGTGTGTGTGTGTCTGTGTGTGTGTGTGTCTGTGTGTGTGTGGCGCCACAGATCCGTGGACACACAGTTTGCCTACATGGAATTTTGTGTTTGAGTGTTTAAATCCAATGTAACAGCACCTCCTCCACTGACACCCCCCTCCCCCATGTCTGCTACAGATGGGGCAGGTTGTGAGTGTGCAGAGGCTCACACTAACATTCCCAGAGGATCCAGGCACAATACACACACAGGCCATGGCAGACACCCCAGCGTGATGTTGAGCAAACCCTCCTGGCTTAGTCACCCCGGGACTGACATGTCCTGGGGAACATGTGTGTGTGTGTGGAGTTCAGTCGAGGCGAGTGGAAGAATACACGTGTCAATAACCTAGCTTGGCCTGTATATCCATGTGCATTTCCCCCAATAGGTAATGTGAGGGACGTGTGTGTGTGTGTGTGTGTGTGTGTGTGTGTGTGTGTGTGTGTCTAGGATGTGCCTGAAGTGTCAGTAGGTCTTCTCCTGAGACAGAGCCCTCCACATTTTGCACTGGACATCTGTTTTGGGTGGGCACAGAAATCTATATTTCTACGCTATCTAGAGTACGCCTGTGCGAGTGTGTGTGTATGTGTGTGTGTGTGTGTGTGTGTGTGTGTGTGTGTGTAGAGGATTTCTACGTAGTGTGTTTCTATCCCCCTGTGTATTATACACACACGTTTACCTTCAAGGACCTGTGCCCCATCCAGGTTTGTCTATCCAGATTATTTGCCCCCTCCCTTTCTCCCCAGAGCTGCTGGCCGCTATCTGGTGTGGCCACACACTGCTGCATCAACATTGTTCAACTGCAGCTTCCTGCCCTGCGTGGTTGGATCCCCTGTGCATACATGCCCACGTGCTTATCTTTCTCGGTCAGATAGGCCTGTACATGTGGAAGCTGGGACACCTCAGTGTGCTCCCACCCGCCCCGGCAGATGAGGCCACACCCAGGCACACACATGCACACAGGAGCCGGCGTATGCTGACGCTGGCGCTGGCACGGTGCCGGTTCAGGCGGGCACTCGTTTGCACATGAATGCCTCCCTATTGATGGGAAGGGCTATTGATGGGAAACATTACTGATCACGGGAATGTCAAGGGCTATTGATGGAAGGGCTATTGATGGGAAGGGCTATTGATGGGAAACATTACTGATCACGGGAATGTCAAGGGCTGCCCCAGGCTCTCAGAAATAACCTTGAGCACTAACCTCAGAACTGAGAGGCCAGCGATGGTCCCCACCGCCCCATCTGATGCTCTGGCCTTTGCCTCAGGAACCTTGGATTTAGGGAACTGTTTATTTCCGACGTACTGGAGTGGTCTAAGTCCTGGGGCCCATGCCCTGGACACATGTCCTGCTGAAATGTCACCGATATCTGTTCCCCTGCAGGCTGAGACTGAGGGTGGGACACGGGCCTGAGTTTCTGACGGTGAGGAAGAGGCCAGCTCCTCCCTTGCTGCGTAGACAACATATGCATCAGTGGGTTTGTGCGATGGGTGGCAGGTGGGAGGTATGTGGGCAAAGGACAGTGTTAGAAGCCTCCCACTCCACTGGCCCAGGAACACAGACCCACATATACAGGATTGAACACACAAGTACAGGAATGCGCCCTGCCTTGGGGTCCGACATCCGTGTGCACAGGGTGGACTTTGGTGTGTGTGCAGATCGTTTCCTGGAGTCCCTCTTCATGTGAAGCGTGTATGTGTGAGAGAGAGACAGTTCAGATGTGACCTTCTGGAACATAGTACCCCACTCCCACCTCAGCTCAGATAGCCAACCTCTTCCCTACCTGGCTGGGCCCTGCCTGTGTGTGGCCAATATATATATATACATATATATACATATATATATATATACGTACGTAAACCCCAAGGTGGGCTGTTCGTTCCCACAGTGCCCTTTGTCAGGACGGGAAGTTTGCCCCCGTATCTGACTGCAGCCCTCCTGCTCCCACTCAGGCTTCTTTGGGGACATCAGAGCAGGCCCCAGCACCCCCCACCCCAGCCTTTTTCCTTCCTGTGGTCCAGCCAGGATACCCTTTCATACCAGGCGTTTCTGGGATTCCCACAGCCTTGGGGCCACAAGGAGAAGGGTGGAGCCATGGCTGGAGTGATGCAACCGCCTCATTGACTGGTATTAGGCCCGTAGCTGCCCATCTCTGGGCCTCAGATGGACCAGAGCATCCCTGAGGGTCTGTTCTGCCCCAGCTTCTCTAAGTCCCACACATCACATGATGTGTTTGCTTGTTGGCTGCTGTGTCTGTATGTGTCCTGGAATGTTGTCTGGGGGCTGGTGTCTTTTGCATGTTCTCAGACAAGTGTGTGCTGCCCGCCCGCCAAGCACCTACAACCATCAAGCCCCTGTGTGCCCCGTGGGTGGTCCCGGACCTGGCCAGGGCTCGCTGCTTCCCCTCCCCCTTTCTCCCTCCCCCTGCCTCTCACAAAGCACACTGCGTGTCCGTCCCATGTGCCTGTGGGTTGATGTGCGCTCTTGCCACGCCTCGAGCGTGCGTACATGATGTGTTCTATGCATTCACCCTGCCCCATTCCCAGCCTGCCCCGCAGAGGACAAGATGGGTGGCCCCCGGCTCCCTCCTCCCCCACCCCGCCTGCTGTGCAGCCGTGTGCGTTGGCGTTTCTGTGTCGCTGGCGTGTCACGTGATATAGCCGTGTTTGCTGACATGAGCCCCTGCCCCTTCTGTTTCTCCGTTGGTTTCTAGAGCTCTTTCCCTCTCCTCCCCAGAGGGAACAGGACTCCTGGGGCCTGGCTGGGGGCCCAGAGCCAGGCCACCCTCTCCTGTTAGCCCTCAGAGTCCCATTTCTCTCTATTGGTGACCAAGTTGCAAATGGATAAAACACAGGAAAATTCTGCCCCCCTCCCAGCCCTGCATGTCCTGTCCCCAGAGCCCCTCACCCCCACCCCGGGCCGGGTCGGGCCCCGTGGGACGGGAGAAATAGCAACCAATCCAACAGCGGGCGTGCTGTGTGCTCACTTCCTTCTGTCCCCACACGGGACGGGCGCCGTGGGGAGTGGGAGACATGGTGGGAGGCGGGTGTGGGAGCTGGACAGGTGGATGGACACAGGCTCGGAGAAGGAGCTTTAATCCAGGGCTTGGACTGGTACAGCATTACTGGGGCATCCTCAGGCAGAGATCAAACAGTGCTGCAGGAACTGATTTGGGTAGAGGGGTGGCAAGAGGTGAAAATACACAGATTTCCTCAGCCTTCGTTGAAGAGAATAAAAAAAGATAAATGTCCAAGGGTAATAAATGTTTTAAAATAAAATAATGGGACGATGAACCCCAAGGGGGGACAAAGGTGGTGGGAGGAGCCAGAAAGCATCTTCACTCTGAACCCGGCTCTGAGGATCACACCTGGATATCCGAGGTCCAGCACGAGGCCCTGTGGAACTTCTACCCACTTCCTGCTTGAAAAGCCAGAAATGGGATGGGACCGTGGAGAACGTCAGGGGAGTCAGACCCTCGCCAACCGGCCGTCAGGCCTGGGTTGAGAGTGAAGACACACTTGCTCCAAAACCCTGCCCTAGAACTGAGGGGTATTAGGACACAGGCTCAAGGCTCATGAATTACAATGTGGAGAGCTCTAGGACAGCCAGTCTGGCACCAGACCCCTCCTCCTCCGGCTCTAGAATGGAGCCCTCCCTCCCCACCAGGGTCTGAGGGCTCTGGACCTGGATGGCTGTGCCATGCTGGCCTCCAGGCCCAGCTCCACCATCACTGGGCTGAGCCCTCCACGGCCTGCACCCAGCGGATGGTGCGGGTCCTGCTCTCCTCCCAGGAGAACAGGGGCTCATAGCCAAAATGGCGCCGAGCCTTGTCGGTGCTGACGGTGAAGGTGGTGTTGGCCATAGCCAGCGTGTAGGGGTTGAGCAGGGGCGCATAGAGCAGCAGCGGCCGCAGCAGCCACTGCAGCAGGACATTGAGGGCAGCCAGAAACAGCAGCAGCCAGTAGGGCAACAGCGGGCGGGTGCCCACCAGCCGGAGCCCACAGGGGCCCAGGAGCTCCATGTTGAAGTCCTCATAGCTCTTGTAGGGCGAGTTGTCATAGCAGAAGTACACCTGGCCACCCATGAGTGCAGCTCGGTGCTGGAGCTCCCGGGCCACCAGCACGTGCATCCAGGCCACGTTACCTGTGGGTAGCGGGGGAGAGGGGGTGCCGAGGAGAGAACCGGGGGCGGATATGTCCTTGAATGCCCTTGCAACCATGTAGATACTGCTCTATTCTGGGCCAGGGCATGGACAAGCCACCCCGTCCTTGGGCCCACGTAGATGCTGCCCACATAACTACGGCCCTGCTGAAGGCTGCTTCTTCCAGGCCCCTGTAGCAATTTACTCTCCCAGGCCAGCCTATATGGTTGCTACTCCTTCTTCTGTTAGTCCTGGGTAGATGCTCCCCCTCTCCTCTCCTGGGAAGATGCTGCTCACAAAACTGCAACCCCTTCCTCAGCCTATGACATGGTATCGATCTCAGCCTTCCCAACTGGCATGGACACTGTTTTGTCTGTGGCCCCTGCAGACGATGCCCACATATCATAGTCTGCTCTGGCCCATGTATAGACCATCCTTTTTTAGCCAGAGTATAGAACACCCCCTTGCCCCAGTACCATGTGGGTCCTGCCCTGTTTTTTTAGCCTCCCCCAACGCCTAGCCCGGGCCTCACCCACGTAGACCCGGCCATGCTCCACAGAGGCTGGAATGGCCCGGAAGAGCCGACCCCCCAGGCGCAGGCCCTGGCGGTAGAAGTCCCTCATGATCTGGTGGCCTTCGCCGTAGATACCGGTGGGACGCAGGGCACATGTCACGAGGGGCAACCCCCCGAGGACCTGGGGGCAAAAGGCAGGCACTGCTAAGACCTAGGACCCGGTGGTTTGCCCTCTGCCCTGATCTCCTCAAGCTGGAGATGGAAGGAATCCAGGGCAGGATGCAAAGGAGCCCACGGTAAGAAATGAACAAACAAAAAACCAGGGGCTGCCCTGGTGGTCCAGTGGTTAAGACTCTGCCCTTCCACCGCAGGGGGCTGGGGTTCGATTCCCTGGTGGGGGAACTAAGATCCCGCATGCCGTGCAGTGCGGCCAAAAGAGGAAAAAAAAAAGAGAAGCCCACAGGCCCTGGCTCTGCCTCTGCCTGGCAGCCCTTTCCGCCCCCGTCTCCTACATCTCATCTTCTCCAGTCTCACCTTCCTCCCATTGGCTTCCAGGACGAGCTGCTCAGCTAGGGCCTTGCTGCAAGGATAGGGATGTCTGTGTACTGCTTCGTATGGGGTATTCTCATTGCCCCTAGTCGGGGGAGAGGGAAGATTCTTAATGCTGAGGGGAGATGGGGCCCTTGAAGTATTGGGGGAAGCTCAGCTCACCTGTAAAAGGGCTGGCCTTTGATGTTGGGACCCACAACTTCCATGCTGCTTGTGTAGACCAGGAAGCGTGTTCCAGTCTGCACACACGCCTCAATCACGTTCCGCGTGCCTGGGGGAAGGCGGGAGTGTATCCAAGCTGAAGCTTCCTCCCCCTCTGCGTCTTTCCCCTCCCCATCCCAAAGCTGGATGAGGACACGTGCCTTCTTTCCCCAGGCCCAGGGAGAACCGCCGCAGGCCAGTGAGGGCCGGCCTGCCATGACAGGGGCAGAAGTGTCCACAGGACAGATTGTCACAGGAGAATCACAGAGGTCAAGGTCAAAGAGGGGGGGCAGGAAACAAGCAACCAAGATCAGGCCACGTGCCAGGGGGTATTGAGGACATTGTCAGAACAGGTAGGGAGCATCTCACCCTGCACGTTGACCTCATGGATGGTCTCAGGACTGGTTTTCCCAAACACGTCCACCAGCCCAGCTGTGTGGATGACCACGTGGGCTCCGGCCACAGCTGCTGCCACCTCGTGGGCCTGGGTCACGTCCCCCTGGATGGCAGTCACCTGCACGGGCCCTGAGAGTGGGTAGGGGCAGCCAGAGGCAATGTCAGAGCTGAGGCCGTCAGCCAGCTGCTGGGTTCGGCCCACACCCTTGGGCGCCACACTTTCCCAGTGTGACTCATTCATCCTATCCATTCACACTGGAGAACATAACAGGCATCATCTTTTCCACAAGGAAGGGCGTCCACACCCTCCCCCGCCCCCACCCCCACCCCCACCCCGTCCCCACCAGTCACCTGTCTTCAGCTCCTCCAGCCAGGGACCCAGGTGTAGGTCAAAGATGCGCAGCTCACGGAGCTGGGGTTCCTGCTGCAGCAGCATGCGGACCACATGTTCCCCCAAGAAGCCACAGCCACCTGTGACCAGGTACACCAGCTTCTGGGCTTGTGCAGAGTCTGCCATGCCTGGCTGGGGAAAGAGACACTGGCGCGCCTGGGTTGAGACACTGCCCCAGCACCAGCAGCCCCGTGACTCCTAGGAGGGGCCCCTGGCTGAGTGGCCTGGAGCAGTGACCCAGAGGCCAGAGCTGTTTCTGGAGGCTGTAGCTGTCAGTGCAGTGGCCAGGCTACCTGCCCTCTGACCCTGCCGGCTGCAGTTACTGAGATAAGGGGGAGGGCTTGGCCTGCAGGAAGGGGTCAGGGTTTGAGGTGGAGGGAGAGGTTCTGGGACAGAAAACGAAGGGTGGTTGGCAGGGAGCTGGGGAGGCAGAGTAGAGGAAGGCGAAGAGAGCTGGGATTGGGGGAAGGGACCCCGGGCCCTGGCATCACCACTGCCTACCTGCAGCCACAGTCCCAGGCCGCCCAAACCGGCCACCGGAGGCCGTCTTCTACAGGCTCCTGGGCCAGCGACACACCGTCCCCTTCCGCTTGCTCCTCCTCCCTCCCGGCCCATTCCAGCAACAGAGACCAGCCCAGCCTCCACCTCTCCACCCCCGACACTCTTGCCACAGGGCACCCTCTGGTGGCCGCTCCGGGCTGCACTGGCATCTGGTTCCAGCAAAACTTGGGCAAGAGGGGTGGGGGAGCCAGAGCCTGCCGGGTGGATGCCGAGTAGGGTTTTCAGCCACAGAATGGAGCAGGCAGGGTGACCTCACTCCCGGTGCATGATATCAGCCTTTCCCTCTTGCTGGATTTCCCAGGAGGCCAGAAGCCCAGCAGCAGCTGTGGTTCTGGGAAGGGAAGGGAGGCCTGACCTTGGCCCCACTCTGGCTGGCCTTGGCGGGGGATTTCTGGATGGCTCTTGCAGCCTGTCTGCTGGCCCAGAGTGATGGTGGCTGAGTCTGCAGGTCTGGGATCTTGCCCAAAAGCCCCTCTACCCACCCCAAACGTCAGGCCACCTATTTCCCTGTCTTCACCTGCCCCACCCTCTGTCCTCAACCCCCATCCCACCCTGCTGTTCCCCAAAGATACTGACAAAGCCCTTTTGTAACAATAAAGTTTAATCACAATTATAAAAATGTGGCGTTGGGTTCGCGCTATTAACATATGTACAGTCCAGCCCAACAGGAAGGGCCCGCCCCCCACCATCCGGGCCTGGCGAAGCCAGAGCTTCCAGACACCAGGGTGGGAGGGTGACCCACAGGGTCTGGCAGGAACAAAAGACGAGGCAGGGTTCCAGGCACAGAGTCCCCAGGACTGGGGGCGCAGGGCCCCCCTCCAGGGGGAGAACATGGCCACTGCCCCTAGAGACCCCTAAACTGGGGAGGGGTGCACGCAGGGCACAGAGGGGAAGTCCCCATTAACACAGAGCAAGGGGGCTATGCAGCCCCCCCAAGAACAGGATCTGTACAGGCCGGCACCCCAGGTTTCCACAGGAAACAGCTGCTGGCAGCTACAAAACATTTACAGCTTCTTCTCCGCAAAGAAAAAAAATCGGGGTGGGTGGGCAGGGGCAAGAAGGGAAGCGGAAGTTGCCTCAAGGGACTGAGGCTCCCTCGCTAGGCTCGGGGCCCCCCAACCCCACATCTGGAGATGGGGCATGTGGGCCCTGCTGAGCCCACTAAGGCTGGGTGGGCTGGGAGCTCAGGGCACCAAGGGGAATAAATAGGGGTGAGGGCACCAGTCCTGCCCCACCTCAGTTGAGGGAGCCGCGGCAGCTCTCGGTGCCACACAGACAAGGGATCTTGTTGTCCTCCAGCGGGAACTTGTAGTCATAGGTGATCTCCTCATCCACGCCGATGGGCTGCTTGGAGTAGATCACGATCTTCTTCTGGGACTCGATGGTGATCACCTTGGCATAGCAGTTGGGCTACAGGAAGAGGTCAGCGTGAGTCACGCCGCCCCCTCGGCCCCTGCCCCGTCCGCTCCCCCCAGTCCGGCCCCCTGCGCACCGTGCAGCAGTGGTTGATGAACCTCGCCAGGTTGCCACACTTGGTGGCGTCGATGATGGTGTCGTGGTCCACCCGGAACAGGTAGCTGCTGCCAATGCCCTCTTGCACGTAGCGCTTCTCCCGCATGTCGGCCACCATCTAATAGAGGACAGGGTGCGATGGTCACGGGGCTTCCCCTCAGCTTCCTGCCGGGCTAGGCCTGACCCCACCAGACCCTGTGATGGGGGGTCTGGACAGTCTCCCAGCTGCCACCCTGGGAGCCTCACTGGCCTGTCCTGGATCCACAGCTCTCCCTCTGGTACCTGCTACCCCAAGGTGCTGACTCCTGACTTTGCTTCCAGGACCCCCACCTCCCAATACCTTTGTCTGCCGTTATGACAAAGTCACCCACAGGACCCCAGGGAAGTCTGCACTGGCCATTGGGCAGGAGAAGCGGTCACTGTCTCCTCCTGGAGTGTCTGCCTGGCCCACGGGACAGCCCGTGGGGACTGGGTCGGTTCCTGAGATGACAGTGGCCGTTTCACGGACTGAATCCTACTCATCCCTTCTCCCAGGACCCTCTCTCCAAAACAGGCGCCCACGGCTGCTGCTGTCCACGCCAGGGCCCACATTCTTGGGTAGAGGGAGGACCTCGTTTCCCAGAAAACAGGACGATAAACCCTCTGCACACTCCTCTTGGGTGATCTCACTCTCTTCCAGGGCTTCAACTGCCAGCTAAGTGGCGGGAACTCCTCCCAAACTTCCATCTCCAGCCAAATCCACCTCAGTGGAACTGCTGGGCGACACCCGGTAGATGTCCCCCGGTCACTGCAACTTCACGTGTCCTGACAAGAGCTCATCTTGACCACACATCCGCTCCTCCTTGCTCCCTATCTCACTGGCAGCCCTACCTACTCCCAGCTGCTAAAGGCAGCACCGAGAAACCATCTCGCCTTGGCCCTCGCCCTCATTCCCCAGAACCAACTCGTTGCCTGGTCCTGCCAGCTACCTTGGACCCACTGCCTAGTCCAAGCCACCCCCGCCTTCGGCTGGGATCTCTGCAACAGCCCCACCCCGCCGTCTCAGCCTCCAGTTCTCTCTGCACGCTGCAGTCAGATGGAACTTACTAACTTCCAAAGTCCTCTCCTGCTTAACACTTCGCAGCAACTTTTCTCCTCTCACCATTGGTCCAAACTCATTAACGTGGCTCCCAAACTCTGCGGCATCCGGCCTCCACCGGCCCCCTCCAGCCTCACGTTGCTGCCACTGGCCCTAGTTTTTCCAAGTGGCCATACTGACCTCCTTGCCCTAAGACCATCCTGCATCCAGGCCTTTGCATGTGCCGTCCTACAGTGGAGAGCACCCTCCCCCTCACCCGGGCCTGGGAGTTGCTCAGCATCCTTCAGCCCCTGGTTTAAACATCACTGTGCTCCCACCTCCCCTGCCTCCCTGAACACCGCCTTTCGTATCAACCCAACACCATCCTTATGTTTCTTGCTGGATCATTTACATCTAGTTTACTAGTACCCATTACTAGTTGTTGAAGGAAGGAAGGGAAAAAAAGAAAAGCAGGTTTCACTGGCTAAGTCTCAGAGCCAGGAGGGACCCCGAGGGCCGGGTGGTTCTCATGTTGGCATCCCAGGCTGCCGTCAGGTCAGGCAGGGGCTGGGCGTGGGGCCTCACCTGGCGGATGTTCTGACCCACGTATTCGATGACCATCTCGTCAGCTGCGATGGGTTCCATGGCAAAGAGCCCCCACTCATGGATCCGGCTCCGGCCGAATCGGAGCTTCTTCTTCCGGAACTAGAGGGCGGAAGGCAGACTGTGCTGCTGGACGTCCCCCTCAACCTAGCTGCTGCTTGCCTCTCCTCAGACCTCCGGGGCAGGAGGGTGTTCTGGCCACTCGCCGCCGGCCCACCCCTAGGGGGCTCCACAACGCTGTCTTCCAGTGGCGCCCCTTCCCTCCTCAGTCCCCACTCCTCACCTTGAGCTGGTTTAACTTCAGCAGGTCACTGTCCATGATGGCAGAGGTGCCGATGGCGCTCAGGAGCCGCCGCTGCTCAGAACGGCGCTCCGAAAGCACACGGTTAGTCCCCTGTGAGGTGCAGGGCAGGGAGGAGGTAAGTGACAGGAGAACTAATGGGAAGAAGATGCCGCCAGTGGGCAGGTACCAGGGCAGAGCCTCACCTGAGTGTCCGCTCCTTCCAGTTGCCGGGCCGAGACGGGGCACACGTCCAGGTACCTGTCCTTCTCCTTCTTGCTGATGGGGTAGTAGCCCTCGCTGCGGGCCGAGCCTGTCTGGTGCTCGCGGGGCCCGTCCTGGGGCCGCCGCTTGCGTTTCGGAGTGCTCAGGTTGGTGAGTGCAGGGTGTTAAGGAAGAGAACGGGGTCCTCACCAGCCAGATCCCTGGGGCTCCGCTCCTCTCTCCCCCGCAGTCCCAGCCCAAGGAAAGGGCGACTGACCTTAGCTGGAGGTCCTGAGCATACTCAGTGTGAGGACAGAGAGATGGAGAGAAATAAGTCTTAGACCCCACCTTTCCTGCCACAAAATCTCTGGGAGGCAGAAAAGAGGCATGAAACAGAGAGCAATGGTGGCTTGGTAGCCAGGGGAGAAATAAATACCCAAGCTGAACATGGCAGAGAACTGGCCAGGGAAGGAGGCCAATGCAGACCCTAGGAACGATCTCAACAGGACAGTGCCCGGCTGAGCGACCGCAGGGAAGCCCTCCCGCCCCCCCGGGCCTGCCTCCCTGTCCTGAGAAGGCCAGCCTCCGGGGCTCAGGATATTGGTGTGATGGACCCAGTGGGTGTCGTTAAGCCAATCAGCCCCACTAGTCTGCTGCAGCAGCCGCTCGTATGTGAGCCGCAGGTAGCCCATGTCCTCCAAGTCCAGGCCCGAGTTCCAAATGTCATACAGGATGGTCATCTGCTCAAACTCGCTGCGGGGCTCGTAGGTGGGGGGGGGCGGGGGCGGGGGCGGCGGGGGCGGCCGCCGGCGCCGGGTGTGGGAGCGGAGGCTGCGCCGCCGGGTGGCCCCCTCGCCGTCGCTGCTGCTGCTGCTGCTGCTCTCTGATGACTCCGACTCCTCTTCCTCCTCCTCCTCCCCATCCTCTTGCTGCTGCTGCTGCTGCTTTGGCTCCTCTGCCTCAGCCACCACCACCTCAGGGGCCTCCAGGACCTCGTCTGCCGGGGAGCTGAAGAGGGCTGCAGGGGCAGGAACTGGCTCCAGGGGCCGAGGGGCCGGCGTGGAGGGTGGCGGCTTGACAGCCAGGGCGTAGTTGTGCTCCAGGAGGATGTGGCTGAGCAGGGGGCCCGGGCGGTCCACCTCGTCCAATGTCTCTGTGGCCTCTGAGTCGTCGCCAGTGGGCAGGGCGGGCAGCCCGCGTCGGGCTGGGGTCAGAGCCAGGTCGGCCAGCACGGCCAGGTCCACTTCTGTCCCTGGCTCAGCCTCCTCTTCCTCGGTGGAGCGGCATCGGCCTCCAGCCCGGCTCCGGCCTCCTCGGGACACCTCCTCGGGCCAGCTCTTGACCAGAGACGCGTGGTCCAGGGGCAGGTTGCGAATGGTCCGCTCCACGGCCCGGGGGACTTTGCGGGAGGCGGGGCCGGGAGACTTGACCTGCGGTGCGGCAGCGGGAGGAGGCTCTGGGGCCGGCACCTCCTCCACCGCAGAGAAGGAGACGGTTTTCCGGCGTTTCTTAGGTGGGGGCAGGAGGGGGATGGGAGAGGAGGGGCGCTCGTCGGGGCGGGGGGCAGGGGCCGGGGGTCCAGCCGGTGGCTCTGGGGTTGGCTGGGGCACACTGGGGGGCGGTTCCTCCGTGAAACCTGGGGAGGGAAGCACACGGGGAAAAGGAGAGGGTCAGCTTCTCGGCCGAACGTCATCACAGATTCGCTACCGGCAAGAACCTGGCCAGCCTCCCTGGGGAGTCCACACCCCAGCTGCCCTCACTCCTCAGCTCCCTACAGACACTCCTGCCCTCACAGAACTTCTAGTCCGATGGAGACAATCACATGAAACACATGTGCAGCCGATCTCTGAAGGGCAGGGGTAGGGGCTCAAAGGAAACACACGCTTGGACTCTAGTCTTTTTACCAAGCCTGGCGGTGACAGAACCACATCCAACAACTAGACACAGAGATCAGACAACCTTTTGTCAGCTGCATTTTATAACCAGGATGCAGTTGTCCAGATCTGAATTAAAGCATCCATTATTTTGACTACAAACAATATTCTTTGTTCAGTGAGGTGAAAAAGATACAACGTAAGAAACTGAATCTTTTCATTAAACTATTTTATAAAATTGCACTGTGGACCTGCCCAAGTGAGAAAGGGGTCAGGAAGTCTCCCCTCAAGAAGCTGAGGGTGGGACTTCCCTGGTGACGCAGTGGATAAGAATCCGCCTGCCAATGCAGGGGTCATGGGTTCAATCCCTGGTCCAGCAAGATCTCACATGCTGCGGAGCAACTAAGCCCGTGTGCCACAAAGACTGAGCCTGCACTCTAGAGCTCATGAGCCACAACTACTGAGCCTGCGAGCCACAACTACTGAGCCCGTGTGACGCAAGTAGTGAAGCCTGCGCACCTAGAGCCCGTGCTCTGCAATAAGAGAAGCCACCGCAATGAGAAGCCCTCGCACCACAACGAAGAGTAGCCTCTGCTCAGCGCAACTAGAGAAAGCCTGCGAGCAGCAACGAAGACCCAACACAGCCATAGATAAATAAATAAATAAAAAGAAGCTGAGGGTGAAGCTGAGGTCCCAAGGATGAGGAGCAGGCAGTGCTGTCTCTCCCCAGCCAACAGGGATGGGGAGCAAATCCTCCCTCTGTGGACACCCCCAGGCCTGCTGCTGAGTGCTGGGGTCTGAACATTGCTCAAGGCATGCATAGCCCTTTCCCCAGGGCCCAGCCCTGTCCTGCAGACCTGACCCATCCCCATGACCGGTCCACAGCCTTGCCCTCTCATCCTAGGTTTTAGCCAGTCAAGCAGGCATGGCCTTTCAGGCCCCCGGCCCTTTGCTCACATGGTTCCCTTTGTTCGGAATGCCTCTCTCCTTTCGCCCATCCAGAAAGTCCACACGCAGATTTTGGACCCAGCTCAATGACACCACCTTTGTAAAGCCTTCCCCAGTTTCCTCAGACATTGGTAACATCTTCCTCTCAGAACCAGAAGGCTGGTGGTTCTCAACTGCCATCTTCAAATTGGCTGCAGCAGATTAACAGCTAGAATTTTGTGCCAAGCACCAATCCCAGCCTTTCACACACAGTAGGTACTCACTTCATTCTCATACGATGCTATGAGGTAAGTACTATTATTAATGCCTTCTTACAGATACGGAAGTCAAGACAGAGAGAGGCTGATAACCTGCCCAAAGTCACCCAGCTAGCAAGTGACAGAACAAGACCTGCATCCCAGGGCAGCCTGGGTTGAGTTCGGGGTCTTACCCACTGCCCCTCGCTGCTTTGGACCTCCTAGCCTGGGACTCAGCGGCTACAGGTCTGGCCCTACCACCCACAGAGCTAAGGGCAGCCAGCACCAGGCCTGGCCTGAGTAGGCAGTGATCAACATGTGTCCACTGCCTCAACCGACACACCCTCAGCCTCCTGTCTCCCGAGGGTCTGGACACCCCTGGGCTCTCAGCCAGGAGAAACCCACGCTCTGAAGCTAGTGAGGTCCCAGGTGCTGGTCCCCGGTCCCCCAGGTCCTAGGAGTCCTCTCACATCCTCTCCTCTCCAGCGCTTTGGGGCGGACCTCTCCTCTGATCCATCCTCCCAACCTAGCGCACTGGGCCCTCTGGAAGCCTGGGCCTTGAGAACAAATTCCACCCGCCACCCCCGACTCAGCTTCTTCCCACAGACTTCCCTTTTGCTCCCCGTCCTGAAGGAAAGCTGGCAGGGCCTTTCATCATTTAGGGAGGCAACTTTCAGGTTACCTGCCCAGTCTACACAACTCCCAGAAGCCACTGTTTCTACGGCATGACCTACCCCACTCCCTCCCTGTGCCCCGGCCATCATTAACTGATGGCTAAATGACCCAAGCCAGCCCAACCAGAAACTTCCCTAAGGATAAGGTTCTAAGATAGAAGGGGGTGGGACTTCCTGGTGGTCCAGTGGGTAAGACTCCACACTCCCAATGCAGGGGGCCCGGGTTCGAACCCTGGTCGGGGAACTAGATCCCACACGCATGCTGCAACTAAGAGTCCACATGCTGCAACTAAGAAGCCCTCATGCCACAACTAAGACCTCATGCCACAAGTAAAAGATCCCACATGCTGCAGTGAAGATCCCAAGTGCCACAACTAAGACCCGGTGCAGCCAAAATAAATAAATAAATAGAAATAAATCTTAAAAAAAAAAAAGACAGGAGGGAGTCTGTCTGTGGGGGCAGATATCCTCTGATGGAATGGAGAAGGAAGACCATTTGCAGGAGAGAGGGATGAATCAGAGGGGAAGACAGAAGAGCAAGTCCTAAAGGTGTCCAGGCCCCTGTCCCTGGGATCTACCAGACAAGCCCTCTCCTAGGCTCCTGCCATTGGGCCACACAGGCCTCTAACCAGTTGTGTCCTTGGTAGCTCGGTTTTCCCTACCATTCTCTAAAAGCCAAGGGACTGGCCTTAATTTTCCTCTCCTCTCCCACCTCTGCCATCTACCTAAGGGACTCTGATAGCCCACCTGTTTGCCAGATTCTCACATTCACTCATCCTCAGCTACCCTCCACCAGTCACACACCCGACCTTGTCACCCCCTCCACGTTGGACGGTGACACTCTGACCACAGTTCCCCAGGTCCTTTCAGTTCACCCCACTGTACCTGTTCAATTTCCCATCCTCTATCGCCCCGCCCTCTAGCCCACCACCCTCCCCCTAAATTAACTTCATTCTGGGTCGTGCCCAGACCACAGCGGCCCTTGCTTCGTCCTCTCCTTCCAAGCTACTTTCTGCAGCCTTCCACCACTTCCACCCTGTAGACCCCTAACCCGGAATCCACCCAACCACCTGCCTTCTCTCCTCCTTCACCCCAACCCCCAGCCTCAGCAGGGCTTCTGAGTTGCTGGCGATCCTAGTCAGCTTTCATCCTCACTCCCTACCCTCCTCATACTCCAGGCTTCTACTCCACTCATGCCCCCTCATGCTCAGAAATGTCCTGCCTTCCTACTGAAGAGAGGAAAAGGAGGCCTTCGGCTGAAACCCCACAACTCCCTGCTTCCCCATTTACGGAGAGATCTGCATCTGACCTAGAGGGTCCATCCCCCCCAGGTGCGCTGCTCCAGCAAGGATTCCTCTCTCTCCTGACCCATCCACCAGCTCCCTCGTCCCTTCAGTGTATGAACACACTCCAGTCTCACGTACTTTGAAAAGGTAACCCTCCACCAACCCTGCATTTTCTTGCTGTCTCTCCAATTCCAGTTGGGTAACCTTGAACAACTCACTAAGCCTCAAATTCCTCATCTGTAAAATGGGAGTAGCAGAGATGTTGTGAGGAGTAAATGAGAAAGTGAAATTTGCAACTTTGCAACATGCTAGGGCTGGCACATGGGATCCCGCACATGGGATCTACTCAATTAACGTTAACTAATATCATTAAGTACCACCCCTCAACTGTCTTCTTTCGCAAGAGTAGCTTACCCTTCCAAAAGACTGGTTATCTATCACCTGCCCTCACTCCTTAACACCCCCTAACTTGAGCCATGCTACTGAAATTGATAAGGTCACCAGTGACCTCTTAACTGACAAATCCAACAGATGCTTTTCCTTTTGTGGCCTTCCAATACAGGCCACTCCCTCCTTTTGAAAACCCGAGCTCCCTGGTTTCCTTCCACCTCTCTGATCACTCCTTTCCAGCCTCCTCTGGCTCCACTCCGCCCCCCTATCTCTTGTAAGACAATTAAGGCTCTGGCCCCCTTCTCTCATTCCATACATCCTTCCAAGGTATACACAAGTGTACTCACACCCATACTTTCAAATACCTATCGCATTTCCAGCCTACTGTTTTCTAGAGCTTCAATCTTTTTTTTTTAACTTTTTATATTGGAATATAGTTGATTAACAGTGTTGTGGTAGTTTCAGGTGTAGAGCTTCAGATCTATTGATCCAACAGCCCACTGACTGTTTCTACTTGGAGGTCCCAGAGGGACACGAAACTCAACCCCAATTAAATGCATCAGCCTTCTTCCAAATTCTGGTTCTCGAAGTAGTTTAACCAAGTGGTTCTATGTCCTAAATTTCTCTGAAACCCTCATCCCCACTTCCACTCCCCGCACCTCACTGTAACCACCCTGGCTTTGGTTCAGGCCCTTCGCTTACCTGCATCCTTTCAAACCGTCTCATTAGCTGCCCCACCTCCCTCCTTACCTCTTCCACATCCCTCCCCCTCCTGTGAGAATGATCTTTCTGAAATGCAAATCTGATCACATCCCACTTTTTCTTCCTACCCTGAAAATGAAAGAGTACTGAGATTGCTGTCCCCTCTTCTGCCACCGATTGACTTCGAAGAGACTGAGAGGCGTCTTAGGATTAATCAGAACCTCGACTCCTTCTCTCATGGGTTCTGGGCCAGAAGAGAACGCCTCAGTGCTAGGAGGTCCTCCTGTGCTCACTGCCTATCTCAGACCATGGATTCTCAATAATGTTCGAGAGAGATCTCTGGAAGGCCACATGCATCTTTGAAGGATAACTTGAAAACTGAGTTAATTCCACCATAAGAGCAACCTACTCCAAGTTACCACCATTGCTTGCCTTACTTCCTGCAAGAGCCTCTTAATCTCCCTGCACAAACTCTGGCCCCTCTCCAAGTTTTCTCTGCACTGCATCTTTTCAAAACACAAATACAACCACGTCAGTCCTCTGATGGCATTCCACTGCCCTCAAGATAAAGCCCAAATTCCTAGTGTGGCCTGCTCATTTTGCATGATCCAGCCCTTGCTAATCTCTCCAGTTTAGGCCACCCCAGCTCCCCCTCACTCTCAGCTCTCCAGAAGATGAGCTTTCTTTTTTGTCTCCCAACATGCCACTTACTCTGCCTTGGGGCCTTTGCACATGCTAATCACACCCTCCCGCCTGCTTTGGCTTGATTTCAGCCCAATGGTGCTTCCGCGGAGAAGACTTCCTCACAGACATGCTCAGGTTCTCAGAGTACCCTGTACTTTTCTTTCATGGCTCTTACAGTTTGTAGTCACAGATTTTCTTTAGTAAAGATTAAACTGTCTCTCCCTATAGACCGTAAGCATCATGACAGTAAAAACAGTGCCTATTGTGCATGCCATCACATCCCTTGCACCCACTGTAAGGATTCAGTAAATAAGTATCTATTGCCTGAAGGAACAGTTCACTCAGCAAGATACATTATGCGTGTGATATAAAATAACAATTGAATGTACAAATCCACAAAGGAAAGCAAAGACAGAATTAAGTTCTGAGTTTATGTTAATAGTTATTATCTATCCAATTTGACCATTTAATCAGGTATATACTACACATTAAGGAAAAGGCTTAAGAAAAACTGGTAGGAGAAATTTACTAAGTTGGGAATTCTCTCTTTAACTTATTTGGGAAAAGATCATTCTGTTTTACTTTATCAGCCAAACACCCTGGTCTAACTCTGAAAACTGTTTATGGCAGTGCAGTCTGAGTGTGTTAGGACATAAATGTCTCCAAGGGAGGAGTGACAGGAGATAGTGACTTCCATCCAATTTTGTATGTTTTCCAACAAAGTCACACACTTGCATACAATTAATAAACGTCAACCACACTGTTCCCATGAAGACAGACACACACATACACAAAGACTACAACAACAGTTCCATACCACCTACCTGCAGGTCTTGCTGGAGACTTCTGTTCGGGGAGAGGTGTTACTGGGGAGTCTGCAACTCTTTCTGGCTCAGGCTCCTCCGCAGGTGCTGGCAGGGGCACGGGGACATCTCTGGGGGGTGATGATGCTGAGGGTATGACTGCTGGCTGCTCCTCTTCCTCTTCTTCTTCAGAGGAGGACTCAGATGATGAGGAGGACGATGAAGAAGAAGATGAAGATGAAGAAGATGAGGAGCTGGATGAGCTGCTGCTCTCAGAGTCCGATGTGCTATCATTCTCACCATCTGAGTCAGCATACAGAGAACATTTGGAGGACGAATCGCTTTCGTCGTCCTCGCCTGGAAATCCAGAAGGGGGAATCAGGCGAGGTGAGAAGACCCCTCACTTGGTCAAGCCGTGGGTTCATTCACTGACTCACTACTAGGGATGTGTTAGGCTCTGTGCTAGGTGCTGGGGATTCCTACTCTCAAGGAGTTGGAGAAGCACCCAATCTGTCCACAGTGTGATAAACTTCAGTATGAAGAGCTAGTGGAACAGGCAAAGGGAAGCCCTGGATTCTGCCTGGTTGATCAAGTCAGGGAAGGCATCCCTGTGAAGGAGATGCTGAAGTCAAGAAGGACAAGGAGTCCGCCCAGCAGACGCGGGGGCTGAGTGGGGATGTCAAAGGTAAGAGAAGATGGTGCCCTTGGAGACTGGCAAGCAGCCTGCCCTAACCACCAAAGCTTTTCCCAAAGTGGGTCTTATAGACACTGCCTGGACAACAGACTCTGAAAAAGGATTCCAGGGTAAAATAAGCTTAGAAAACGTTATATGGTCTATGCCTCTGGGAGTGGTAATACATTGGAAGGGCTCTAAGAAATTAAGAATTTCAGAGTCTTGGAGGAACATAATCGAATAGGGGTCTGGAGAATGGCAGGATGAAGCTGAACAGATAAACAGGAGCTAGATCACAAATGGCCTAAAGCATCAGGCTGAGAAGTCACCTGTGGAAGACACGGAGCCAGGAAGAGACTTAATGGGGGAGAGTAAAGGGTCAGGTGTGCATTTTAGGAAAGATTCCATCAGCAGGCTAGAAAATGGATTGAAATGAGAGGGATGGAAACAGAAATGGGGAAAACAGTCAAAACTGCTGCAGAGGCTTCCCAGGTGGTACAGTGGTTGAGAATCCGCCTGCCAATGCAGGGGGCACCGGTTCGAGCCCTGGTCCAGGAAGATCCCACATGCCATGGAGCAACTAAGCCCGTGCGCCACAACTACTAAGCCTGTGTTCTAGAGCCCACAAGCCACAACTACTGGAGCCCACGTGCCACAACTACTGGAGCCCACGTGCCACAACTACTGGAGCCCACGTGCCACAACTACTAAAGCCCGCACGCCTAGAGCCCATGCTCTGCAACAAGAGAAGCCACCACATGAGAAGCCCGCTCACCACAACCAGAGAAAGCCCGCGCGCAGCAAAAAAGACCCAACACAGACAAAAATAAATAAATTAATTAATTAAACAAACAAACAAAAAAAACTGCTGCAGACTCTGAGTGAGAAAGGCAAGAGAGCAGGAACAAGGGAGGTGACAAATTCAAGAAACACTGAAGCAGTAAAACGGACAGGAATTGGTGACCAAGTGGATGTGTAGGGTCTGCACCCCTCACTCTCAGCAGATGACCTCGCCCTCTGCTTTCCTGAGCAAGAGGCTCTCAGATCACCGTTCTCATAATTCTGGCCTCTGCTGAAATGGCACCTCTCGGAGGCATCCCTTCACCATCAGATGTAAAACAGTCCACCTTTCCCCTGTTCCCTGACCCTGTCACTCCCTACCGCGTTACGCTAGTTCATCTTCTTCAAGCAAGTATCTCTACTTGAGGTGCTACTATTTGTCCACTTGTATGTCAAGTCCCCGCCTCCCCCCCTTAACCAATCACAAGCTCCAATAAGGCAGGGACCACATGTGTCTTGGTCGTTGATATTTCCCTAAAACCTAGAACGGTGCCAGGCACACGGGAGGGGCTCGATATCTATTTCCGAGCAAAGGAATGAAAGAGAGACTGAACCATGTACTCAAGCCTCAATAAATCTGGAGGAACAGACAGGTGTTCAACTGAAGAACAGAGCTGTGTCTGGTGCCAGCAGCTGTAGCAAGGGGAAGAAGGAGGCACAGGTCGGTGGCCGGGCCTTAACGGAAGAGCAGTGCCCAAAGGGGGAAAGGCACAGTGGGGCAGCAGGAGAATGCAGCCCCCTTATCTTGAGAAAATAAATGGGCTGTACTGGGTTGTCTTCAGGGGACAGCATGTTTCAGAGGTAAGCAGGAGGGAGTGTTCTGGGTATTGTTTACAGTGGGCCAAAGGTTCCAAAGGATGGGGCTAAAAGGCAGTTGTTTTGGGGGAAGGCAAAGATGGCCAATCAATCCAGCAGGCAGGTTACATGGGCTCGGAAAGGGCTGGACAGGTGGCTGAGTCCCTCCTTCCCCAAAATTTGACTGTACTCTGTGCGTGCTTACCGTCTGATGCCTCTGTCTCCTTCTTTGCAGCATCCATGGCTTCTTCACGCTCTTCATCATCCTCATCTTCCTCCTCGTCCTCCTCATCCTTAAGGAAACGGACAAAGGGGAGTTAACAGAAGAAGGACAACTGGTCCTCCAGGAAGCACAGCTACCAGGGCTCCAGCCCAGAGAGAAGCTGGCTATGGCGGCAGGAACTCAGGACGTAGGCTCCTGGCAGGGACCGGGTGCCTCAGCTCCTCACCTTCTCTGAGGAGGACTCCTGGGATGCCTCCTCCCCCTCGCTGTCCAGAGCAAAGGACTTGCGGTGCTTGCCCTGGGTCTTGCTTCGCTCTTCATCTCGTTTTGGGGGCTTGGTCCCCGGACGTCCTGGCTCTCCAACCTCCTTCTCTCGCTCAGCGTCTAGGCCCAAATGAGTAGTGCAGTTTACCATCAGCAAGAGTTGCCCTATCCTGTGAAAGGAGCTCTGCACACACCATCACTGACCTTTCTCACAGTCCCACAACACAGACCTCATTTTACAGACAAGAAGTTGAAGCTCAGCAGAGAAACATAAAAACTGCACATTTTACTTCACACTTTATACAGTTTTAAACACATTGCACCCATTTTATCTTTCATCTTGTTCTGCGATGGGTGGAAGAGGGAGGTGATTTTGTTATGTCTGGTCCAAGAAAATAGTACTAAGGCCAACGGGTCTCCAGGGAAGCAGATCACACTCAATAAGAAAGTTTTCCGCCACAGAAGCTGTCAACCTATAGCTCAGACTTAGACAAACTGGTAGAAAGGGTGTAAGAGTGCTTAAGCATTAAATAGTAACCTTGGGTAGAAAACCTGTTTTAACCTCATGATTATTCCTCTCTTATGGGGAAAAAGTGAAACACAGAAAACTTACGTCAGCATACCAGAAATAAAAACCACAGCTAAAATCCAGGGATAACCCTACCTGAAGCTTCTCACATCTCAAAGAACTGCTTTACTCTAACCTGTTCCAAATCTTCACTTGGCTCCTTGCCCTCAAGACACCTTCACCCCTTCATCCCTGCCTCCTCCTTTCCCATCAGAATCGAAGCAGCCTTTTTCCTCCTTTCTGCTTCACCTGACCTCCCACTCACCATCTTCATCTTCCTCGGCTGGAGTAGAAGGCCGGGGCCTCTTTTCCTCACTGGCCTCTGAAATTTCCGAAGGCTCTTTTCGCTTTACCTGGGAGATGAAAAGAGATGGTGCCCTTTAAAACCCAAACACTCACGGTTCCCAAGCACCCTTACTCCAAGGAAAGGAAGCCCCCCTTAACCCCCTCTCCCCACGCAACTAGGCAAGATCACAATCCTGGGTACCTTGAAAGAAGGCAGCCGCAGGGCTCCTCGCAGTCCTGACCCAAAGGCGAAGGCTTCGATGCCGGTGGTACCCCCACTCTTGGCCCAGTCTACCAGGGACAGCAGGCCTGGCTCTTTGAGCTTTGTCTTCTCTTTATCCTCCTCCTTGGCTTGCTGTTTAGCTGCATTCTGGAATGGCTGCAGGCAGTAGGGGGACCAAGCTCCAGAACCCAGGCGCTCCCTCCTGCCTCAGAACTACTCCCAGGCCCCGGGAATACAGAAATGCATCTACTCACTTCTCCATCTGACACACATCTATGCCACACCTCCCTCGCACCAGCCCCTGTACAGGCATTTTCTCGAAAGTCCGCTCATTCAGTCCATCAATCTTATGAAGCTGCTACTATTATTCCCACGCTACAAATGGAGACCCTGCAGATTGATGCCCAGAGAGATTTAAGAGCTTCGTCCACCACAAGGAAGCAGTGGATCCAAGAGAAAGCTCTTCTGACTCTCAGACTCCTGCTTCTTCTACTGTTCTGTGTGCCCCCCAACTCCCCTGGGCCCAGCTGTGCATGCCACCGAGTGCCCACAGTCCCTCTCTCCACTTGCCCCAATCACCTCTCTTCCCTATTCTGAGCTGTGTAGCCTGAAGAAGCCGGAGGTCTATTCTCTCCAGTGGAGCCCCAGGTCTCCCCAGTCCCAGGCACTGGCCCTCACCTTGGCCTTCTCTTCCTTGCTCTCCCACCACTGGTCAAAGGCTCCAAAGGCCACATTCTCCACCATCTTGCGGTTGAGGTCTCGCTGCATGATGCTCTTCATCTCTTGGACTAGGGTGGCCAGCACACGGCCCACGGTGCCTGCCGATGGCAGGGCCTTGCCCTCTGCCAGCTCTGCGTCCTCCCTGGGAGGCAGCCGGGCCTCTTCTCCTGAGACTGAGGAGGAGGGCAGGGGCTCGGCTGCCATGGGCAAAGGCAGCTGGTAGGCCTCCCGGGAGTATGCCCCTCGGCCTTCTTGCCCTTGTGTGTACAGAGCATATGGTAGGCCATAGGCTGCCTCTTGTGGGGGCGGGAATGGGAGGAAGGCCTCCCCAAAAGCCCCACCAGGGGGACCAGCTGAGGCAGTGGTCAATCCTTTGCCCTGCCGCAGTTGGTGGAGCCGAGTTAACATCTGGGTCTGCATCTGGAAGGACATGGGCATCCCTCCCCACTGAGCCCCAAGTCGATCCATGAGCTCTAAGGAGTTCACAAAGTCATAGATGTGGGGGGGGTGGCGGAGGAGGTGGGGGGTACTCGGGGGGCGGTGGCCCATCAGGTCGGGGTGGGAGGAGATAGGCAGGCTGGTGGGGAGGGTAAGCAAGCGGAAGGGAAGCCATGTACGGAGGGGGAGGGGGAGGAGGAGGGGGAGGAGGGGGAGGTTGCTGGGGGGGTGTTGGGGCCGGAGGGGGTGAGCCGCCCCTGTCATCGTCGGAGATTTCCATGTCCTCTCCAGAAGAGCATGGAGAAGCCTGTAGGGGTGCAGAGGACGGTCACAGAAAGCTACTGCCTGTTCCTTGGGCTTTTCCTCAAATCTCTGTTCTCTTGCCTAGTTCCCTTCCTTCTCCCAACTCTGCCTCCTGGATCCCAGGGACTTCCCCTGGCTGACCCCAACCCAACCTCACCTGGTTCTGTCCGTTGGCTTTGGGTGACTCCCGGGTAGCTCCTGGTTCCCCACTCCCTGTAGGTGCCACATCCTCAAAATTTGCCGGGGCTGGAGGGGGCGTGCAGGGCCCGTGACCTGACCCAGAAGGAACCTCGCTCCCTGTGTCCCTAGCCCCAGGGCCCGTGGTGCTGTTCTCTTCCTCTTCCTCGGTGTCAGAAGCCAGGAAAGAAAACTTGGAACGCTGCTCCTTCAACAACATCTCAATGCGGGAATCCAGGCTGCTGTGCTGAGCGAAGGGCACACTCTCATTGGTGGTCTCTGGGGCCGGAGAGCCGGAACGGGCAGGTGAGGCTGGGCGGGGGGAGGTCCGAGCTTCTTCCCTCTCAGGGCTGGGCCCCCCACCACCCCCGCCTCCACCAGGTTCTGGAGGCTCTGGGGGTGGAGCTTCTGAGGCAGGGGGCCGGTAGTCCTGGTCAGCAGGCCGGTTGGGCTCAGGGGGCAAGTAGGAGGTGTAGGAAGGTGGGAAGCGCTCAGCTGTATTTTCAGCAAAAGGTGCCCCAGGGGGCTCCTCCCGAGTTGCCCGGCGGGGTGGGTAGGAAGCATGGCGTTGGTAGCGATTCCAGCTTTCATAATATGCTGGGTAGTTTGAGTCAGAACCACGAAAATGAGAGGATGAGGAAGAAGATGATGAAGAGGACGAGGCCAACGAGGAGGAAGAGGAGGAGGATGCGGCGGTGGCCGCAGTGGTGGCGGAGACGGCTGCAGAGGTGGTCGTGGGGGCTGAAGATGCAGAGAAATGGCGGCGGGAGAAGGAATCTTGGTAGCTGTTCTCTGACCGCCGGGGCTTGAAAGAGGCTGAAGTGGTGCTGGAGAAAGCGTGCAGAGGGGTTAGCTGGGTTCAGCTCCGCATGCCCCAACCCCGCTGCCCCGCTGTCAGTACCCAAAACCCCTCTACGCTGCCCCCAAAGGAAGATCTACACGCTACTAAGTTCCTAGCTAGAGAGTAAATTCCCTGAGGACAGGGATTTGTTGGCTGGATCCAGAGAAACTAAGACAAATTACTCCCAACCCCCTCTTAGAGACTCTAGGTTTCTTCTTCCCAGTGGCAGCTCCCAGAATCTGGGGGTCCCAGAGGGTGTTTCCGCTGTACCTGCTGGAGTAGGCAGAATCCTGAGAGTAGGGGGTGCTGCCCCGAGACGTGTAGGGGGTTCCTTGGGAGGACTGTGGGGTGAACTGGCCGAAGGAAGATGGGGTGTCTTGTCGGCTGCTGGAGAAGCTCGTGTCCTGGGAGCAGGGGGTGCCATTGCCAGGAGTGCCCACCACAGCAGTGCCTGCTGGGAAGGCAGCTGTGTCGGAGGAGGAGCGGCGGCGGGATTCAGTCTGGAGGGAGAGAGTGGAGCAGGGAGAAAGGAAAAGAGATCAAGCACCATTTGACCATATGCCCTTCACCAAACCAAGAACCCCAATTCCCTGCTTTTTGAAAAAAGCTAGGCCTCTTTTCCTTGGCTCTTCCTATACTTAACAGTGAAGTCCAGAACCTCCCAAAGGCTGCTTCTGGCATCTAAGCACCGGGCCCATGTGGCTAGGGCTAAAGCAACCACAAGCTTCTCACCGTCTCAGTGGCTGCACCAGAGCCTTGGAACTTCTCACTGAGGGCCTTGCCCCCAGTAGGCACCGTCTGAGGGGTGTAGGAGCCATTGACTATCAGTTCATAGTACTTCATTCGTTGTTGTCCTGGAGGGAGGAAAATGGGAACCAACAGAGTCAGATGGAGGAAACAACTCCTTTCTGATTTCACGTCCCCACACTTCTTTCTCGGGCCTCAAGCTTCCTAAGATTTCTTGGAGTCTTGGGTTTGGGGCTTTCAGTTCTTCTACCTCATCTCTACCTAATAACTACTACAGACAACGTATTGGGTGACATTTCACAGTTTACAAAAACACTTCTAACGTGCGTTACTATGTTGGATGATCACCAGGAGAGAGAAGCATCCGAACCCCTATTTTAATTTATAGGCTTAAAGAAAACTAACCTGCACAAAGTGGTAAAACTAGAATTCAAACCCAGTCGTCTGATGCTACATCCCACCATCCTCTTCATCTTATAAACTGAAGTTGCAAAATGGCAGCCTGAAGGCAGCCCACCGTTGTGTTTTATTTGCCCCACACAATCACTGAAACTATTGGCAAGGGCAAGGGAGGAATGCAACGTTTAAAACCCAGGAGATTTCACACAAGAACCTAGATTTTTGGCTTTAAGAAAAACTATCTATGTTAGTCCTCATTCCCACTTACAAACTGGCTAATGCCAACTAACAGCTGCCTCCTTCCGATGCCACTAGACGGTATGCCACAGTCCCCACCCCTCCCTACTGCTCCTTAGCACAGAAGCCAAGACTGCTTCACTCACCTATACAGGTCCCTAATTCTCAATCCAAAATTTCAATACCTCGTGTTTTTAGAATTTGGCGTCAAAACCTGGTATCAGGCTATTTACTATAGTTCTTATTCATCCTACCTAGTGTGACTCTTCATAAGTTTTCTTGTAAATACAGTCATACACTAGACTAAAGGGTGCTGCCCCAACCCTGCCAAAGACAATACACAAAAAACCGTATCTGGGGACTTCTTTGGTGGTCCAGTGGTTAAGACTCCACGCTCCCAGTGCAGGGGGCCCGGGTTCGATCCGTGGTCAGGGAACTAGATCCCGCATGCTGCAACTAAGAGCCCGCCATGCCGCAACTAAAGATCCCGCATGCTGCAAGGAAGATCCCACGTGCTGTAACTAAGACCCGGCAGCAGCCAAAATAAATAAGTAAATAAATGTTAAAAGAACAAAACAGAACAAAACCCGTATCTGTACCATAAACTCTCTGTAAAATTCTGATATCAGAAACACACCTGGCCCAAAGGTTTCAGATGAGAAATCATGAACCTGATCACCTGCCTGGCCCCAATAGGCATTTGCGTGTACCATCTCTGCCAGAGCCCAACTGTGGGCAGCAGGCGATGGAGAACTCACCTTTGATGTCGAGCTGGGCATGGATGATGTTGCCCATGACGGAGGTAAGGTGGAGGTTTTTGACTGTTTCCTTGGCTCCCCGAGTGCTGGTGAAGAGCACACGGGCTAGGCCCAGGTGCTTGCGAGTACGGGGGTGAAGAAGGATCTCTACCTCTTCCACCTCACCATACTTTCGGCACATGTCCTTCAGGAAGGTCTCCCGCACGTTGTCATTCAGTCTTGCAAAAGTCACTTCTTTCAGTGGGATCTGTCCGATGTAGAATTCATCCAGCTGTGGAAAGGACAGTAGTTACGTCCAGGGTCTCAATACTGACCACTGCTCCTTTGCCCTTTGGGAAATTTTAGCGAGATCCATGAGGCCAAGAGAGATAAAACTGGGAAACTACGAGGCAAGGGAATGCGGAAAGGGGTCCCAACAAGGGATACATCAGTCTTGACCCCTCTCTTCCCTGAATTCTTCTCACCACAGAATAATGACAAGAACCAGGAAAAGAAACGCACAAACTGAAAACTAAACCTCCATGGAAAGAACTAGTTATATGGAAATAATTCACCAGTTCAGCTCTTACTAAGTCATTACCAAGGACTGGTCACTAGGAATACAAAAATGTGAAAAAAAGAGATTCCTATTCAGAAGAGTAGACAAGACAGACACACACAATCGCAACATGACAAAACAAGTGTCAGCAAAGGTGGAGACAGGGTGTTTGGGAGCCCAGAGAAGGAAACCTTTGTTCAGATTGGAGGCAGGAAAGAATTCATAAAGATGGTGTCATTCAAACTGGGCTTTTCAGATAAACCAGAGTTCACCAAAATGACAGGACCTATAGGGCAGAAAACTATAAAATAACATGGCATTGCCTAGAAACTGCAAAGTGCGTGGCAGGACAGAACACAGGCATGCAGGAGATGAGGCTTGGTCAGATGAATGATCATACACACCAATGCACAAAAAACGTGGACTTGGCAGCAAAAGTAAAATAAAAGAACAGGTCTTCCCTGGTGGCGCAGTGGTTGAGAGTCCGCCTGCCGATGCAGGGGACACGGGTTCGTGCCCCGGTCCGGGAAGACCCCACATGCCGCACAGCGGCTGGGCCCGTGAGCCGTGGCCACTGAGCCTGCGCGTCTGGAGCCTGTGCTCCACAATGGGAGAGGCCACAACAGTGAGAGGCCCGCATACCGCAAAATACATAAATAAATAAATAAAAATAAAAGAACAGTAAAACCAGAGACAAATGACAGCAATAAAATGGAGAGGAGAACGGAGGCGAGGAAGCCAGGGGAAATAAATACAAGTCTGTATTAAAGGAGTGGCAACAGAGATAGAAAAATTAAGGTAAAAAGAGACGTGTTTAGAAAAAAGAGTCAGCACAACTTGATGACACATTAAGGACAGAAGAATCATAGGACAACTCCCAGGTTTCTAGCTTGCGCAGCTGAGTAGATAGTGTTGCCATTCATCAATAAAAGGAAAATATAAAGAAGAGTAGGACTAAAGGGGTGAAGATAATTGTTTTACATCTCTTGAGCTTGAGGTTTCTATGGGGCCTCCAGATGGAGCTGTCCCTCCAGCAAGCGTATAAGTCTGGGGTTCAAGAGACTGATCTTGGCTCAGATCAGAGGTTTGGAAGTCATCAACATTTCAGTAATAGTCAAAGTTGTGGGTGGAAAAGAGATTGTCCAGGACAAGTGTACAAAGTGAAAAAAGAAGGATGAGAGAATCCCACAAGTGACTTATTTAAAAAAGAAGAAGAAAGAATTAGCGAAGGAGAATAAGAACCACCAGTTTCCTAGGACCAGTGCTCCAAGTCCTGATGAGTCTCCTGCCTGGACAGGGATGTGGGAATCCTCTGAGGAAACGAGACGGAGGAGGGGCGAGGAACAGAGGACTCCAGGGGTGGAGTCCCTGGTGTTGTCACTCCGCTTAACTGAGAAACTGGGGCGACACACAGGGCACTGTTTTGCTATGTGCTGTCTAGAAGTACACAGTGATAGGTGCAGCAGCTAGACCTGTCTTCATCCTTCAAAAAGTTAACACCCCTGCTTGAGACACCTCACCTATATCTTTCTAGAAAATAAACACACCTCCTGTCCAGAACAACTCAATCTCACAGTCTCAGAGATTATTAGATCTGGCTGTGATCCTTTCATTGGAAAACCCCCTTTTATTACACTACACTAAGACTGGACTACCAGAATGGATCCTCCACACCTCCAAGGGCCACCACACCAGGGGACTAGCAGACACATACCTTAAACTTAGGGACTGGGAGGGAAAAGTCTCTGTTTTTGGACCTGACGTGGCAACGGGGGTCTTGGAGGTCTTCCACTGGTATATACTTTGAGTCCTAGGAAGAAAAGCAGAAACAGAAAGACAACTCAAGGAGAAATCAGTGTTGAGCTCTAGAGCCCATTTGGAGACCCATATGCAAAAGAGCTGGGTGTTGGCTGCCCACTTTAAAGAAGGCAAGCTATGGGTATGGGAGTTCTAGGTGCTGAACAGAGGTAACAGAGAATGGGGCTTGAGTTCCCTAGATGGTAAGGAAAAGCCTGGGGCACTCACGTTGACACTGAAGTGGATTCCATCGTATCGGTACACCTTTTGAGAAGGCCTGCGCAGGGCAGGGTCCAAGGCAGGATCGACGATGAGCTTGTAGTTCCTCCACTGGAAGCTCGGGGCCTTCTGCCCATCTCCCCCACCTTCCTGATCCATCTTTGCTCATTTACACTGTCAGGAAAGAAGAATACGCAAGGGGGCTCAGGACTTAGGCCTGCCTCCCTTGCTGCCCCTCACAGACTAGCCCCGACTCCAGGTATCCCCATCACCCCAGTTTCCACACCTCACCATGACCCGAGGCTTCCCTAGATTTTCTCCCAAGTACCTTCTTTCACCACAACACCCCATTCTCTCTCCACCTCCCAACTCTCTCCTCAAGGCCCCAGGCCCATCTCGCGCCCCCTTACCTTCCCGCTCTCCCTAGCGCGCGCCCCACTTGGCCTCGGCACAAGACCCCTCCCCCGCCCCCTGGCAGGCCCCGCCCCCTCCCGCCTCCTCACCCGCCAGCGGCCCAGGCCAAGCCGGGCTCCGGCTCCCACACACCGGCTCGCGTCCCCGCGCCCCGATCCTCTGGCCAAGAGGTGGCACCTTTTCGGGGCGTTGGAAACACCGCGAGACCGAGCTCGAGACCCGGCTTCGGCCCCGAATCTGGGCGGGGGGTGGGGGGAACGCGCGCCGCTGCTCTCTCCTCCCGCCCCGGCGCGTTCTGCCCCCCCACCTCCGCGCACGCGCGGCGCGGCCCCACTCACCCGCTCGTGGCGAGCGGCTCCCCCTCCCCCCACCCCGCGCGGCACCTCAGCGGCGCGAGGCGGTGGCGGCGGCGGCGACAGCGCGAGACCCGGCCCCGCAGCGGTGGCGGTGGCGGCGCCCCCCCACCACCACCTCCCCGGCGCGCGCACCAAACACCACCGCCACCTGCGCGAGGCCCAGCGGGCACAGCTTCTGTATTCGCACTTTCGCCACGGGCGCCGCCGGGAGACCCACGGGGCCGAAGATAGCGGCTTCGCCTCGGCCGGCGCGCTGTAAGGCTCAAGAGTTGCGGCCCAGGGAGCCTGGAGATTGGCCGCATCCCCCGGAGAGTGGGCTTCACCACGGCTATCCAGCTGCTCTGGCCTGGGGTCCTTGACGAATCGGCGGCGACGAAAGCAGCGACTAATCCCTGAGGATAAGGGGGCGGGGCGGAGGAGAGGAGGCCAGCCAGAGCTGGGGAGATTTGAGTGGCGAGTTGAACAGGCGCAGATTCGTCAGGCGGGCGGGGCGAATCAGTAGACAGGATGCGCGCTCCTTTGCTCCTCTAACCCGCCGCTTCCTCACGCGGCCAAAGGTCTGAGAGGCTGCAGATTTGCCACAAGTCCTGGCCTCAGCTGTTGCCTCCCTTTAACCGCCTTGGTGGAGTCAAGAAAATAATGCCGGGTTAGCCAAGCCCTGTTGGCAGAGTGGGCCACTTTTCCTGGATCTTCCTTACTAGCACAACTCAGAGGACTGCTCAGTTCTGACCTGGGAGAAATGGCTACAGAGTCCGATGAGGATTTTCAGCCGAGTATAGAGAGGCCCGAATAATTCTGAGGAGGAGCCGGCCTAGCGAATCTGCGAATTCCTTCGTGGGCGGGGCCAAGGCGCCGCGCGCAGAGGGCGTGGTCAGCGTGTGGAGCCGGGCGTCGCGGGGGCGCTTCCTGTAGGACCCTCCGAAACCGGGGTGGGCTGGGAGCGGCGCCCGGGAGGTGGAAAAATACTACCAACAACGGTGACTCAGGCTGTTTGGCGCCGCACGTAATGCAGGGAGCGTTTAACTCCCGTTATCCTCCTTGGGCCTCTAGCTGTTTAAGATGCCCATTTGACAGATGGGGATACTGAGGCCTTCAGAAGGTGCCGCATTTTGCCCGTACTGGCCCGCCATTAGTGATTACATCTTAGTCTGTCTCAAAGTTATGTAATAAGGCCGGTGGGCCCTAAAGGACCTTGAACCGGTCCTGTAAGAAACGATAAACTAGGTCGCACTTGAACTTGGGTGGGTTGGTCGATTCCCCGGGCGTCATGGTCCCAGTGCCCGCTGTTTTCAGCTGTGCAACCCCCTGCCCCCCGCCCCCCGCCCCCCTTCGCTTACGCAGTCCCGCCGCTCGAGGGCAGCACCAGCCCGGGCTTAAACTTCGGACCCTGGGGCTGAGGTCGCCCTGATTCTGGGCACCGTTTTTCTTAGGCTTGTTTGCAGGCATCTAGGTCTCAGGGTAATGGCACTCCCAGGCACTGCCTGTGCTGAGGATGCCCTAGGTTCCAGACTTCTCTCAGTACTGTCGGCCCCCTCGATGTATATGACCTTGGGCGAGTCATTAACCACCTCTTAAAGCGTCAGATTCTTTCTCTGAAAATGGATGTTAAATACTGTCATGCGGAACTACTGTAGGCATTAAAACAATGTAGGAAAGGCCCTTGAGACCTCGTTCATGCAAATTCACAATTTTAAGGAACAGAGAAAGATTTGTCCAAAGTCTCACATCAAAAGAATCAATCCTTCTGGGAGAGGATTAGGACCCTTTACAAATTTGAGGAAAATGAGGCTGAAAAAATAAATTTATAATGGAAACATGGGTGATGAGATCAGATTCCTTTCTCTGGTCCCAGTTGAAAGATGTTGGTTCCTTTTCTCAAATAAAACCATTCCCCATGTGATGGTAAAAGTAGTCTAAGTTTTCACTGACTAGCTGGGTGGCTTTGGGCAAGATCCTCAGCCTTCTTAGGCTGAAGTTCCCTTATCTCTGAAAACGCTAATGATAAAGTCTTGCCTCTTGAGGTGATTTTTAAATAAGTTAAGTAGGCTAAATAAGATTACCTATGAGAAGCCCCTAGTATGTAGTAGTCACTCAAGAAAGAAACTTACACTAAAAGAAACTTATACTAAATTCTCAATGGATGAGGTAGAGACCCTGGGCTCAGTAACAAGAGTGCAAAAGCCTTTAGCCTTAGAATAACTCAGTCTCCACATTCAGAAGCTACTGGCCCCTGTCAGCACCACAAGGGGGTCATACCTGGAACCTCCTCTCCTCCACCCCTGCCCTGCCCCCAGGGACACTTGCCTCCACTTGATTCTTAAGAACAAGTCAGCTGTTCCCGACAAGGCCTCCCCTTCACCCCATTCACAGCCACAGGGACATGTGTGAAACAGTTTATTATACAAAACTAGGTGCATCAAAAATTCAGTGTCAGAATAGCTCTGTATTCCAAGGGCTATGGACTGGACCTCCTCCCTTAAAACCTCACCCCAACCCTTGCTAGGGATCAGGCTGGGCACACCGACCCCAGCTCTGAACCAGGAGTAGGAACCAGATACAGAAGCATAAATGTGGGTCTAGGGCAGTGGGGCAGGCATTTGAACTTCCTTCAAATAGGGTGGCTCCTCCTTGGAAAGGCTGGACATATGTCTAGGGTAGAAACACCCAAATCCCTCTACCCAAACACCAAAGCAAGAGGGTGGAACCCATCAAAATCTGAGGATGAGGAAGAAAAAAAAAGCCAACCATAAAATAGATTCTACAAAAGTATAGCAAGGATTGGCTGCCTTCTGGGGCAGCTGGGTGGGTGTGTAAGCTTCTGGCCTCCACATTCTATAAGGGGGCAAGTGGCTAAGAGTCAGCACCAAAGGTCTGACAGGGTCTCCCTGCCTCCCCTCTACCTACTGCATGAGCCTTGGACTGAGGACCTTCCGCTTCCTCCCTTGCTCCTCCCAGCCCAGGTGTAGAGTAGACTTTCCAAAACCCATAGGACAGACTGACAGGGAGAATCCCTGGGAATGTGGGAGCTGCCCAAGGCCCAGCCCAAAGGACCCTGAGGGCAGGAATCTGTTCTCTACCTGAGAGTGGCCACAGGAAGTGGCTCCAGGCAGGGCGGGGAATGGGGTCCGTAGACCTGGGGCCTCTGGCTGACCCCTGAGGGAGGCGGTGCTCGCAGCTGTGGCTAACACCGGCCTCACACAGCCTGCAGCTCCCCCTGCAGGCGACTCAGCTCCTCTAGCTCTTGCTTGTGGCGGTCGGTCTTGTGAGCCACTAAGGAGCGGTAGAAATGCAGGGCAAAGGCCATGAACACAAGCCCAACAGGTACCATGATTGCCGTGGAGGCCATGGCTGCTTGCCAGCCTGGTCCATGGGCCCCACCACCGCCACATGCTTGCCGAGGTGGGCAGGCCTCAGGTGGCTCAGCCTGTGACGGGGCTACAGAAGCAGAGGATGGCTTGGAAGCTGGACTAAGGGAGGCGGCCACTGGTGGCAGAGTCTCAGGCACCTGGGAGGCAGGTACCACAGAGCCTGGTGTGCCCAAGGGGGCCCCGATGGGCACAAACTTGACCCAGCCAACCAGGACAACTTCAGCGAGGAAGAGGAAGGTGCCCAAGGCAGTGGAGAAGCCCCAGGCCAGCTCCACGTAGCGGTGGAGTCGCTGGTGTGGAGACTGGTGGACAGAGTTGAGGTTGTGGATGTTGCTGACGGCTTCAATGTGAGGCAGCAGACAGGTGGAGACCATGAGTGCAAAGAGGTGCACAGCCACCAGCACGGTGGTGCAGGCACTGAAGGCCACCAGCAGGCCCGGCGGGTATTCGTGGTTGCTCTCCAGCTGTACCTCTACCATGGCCACCTGTGGGGACAAGAAGGGATGGGTTGAGTGCCCATAACCTCAACAGTAGAGGGGTTTTCTGCCTCTTGGTGTACATCACTGATGTATCCCTAAGACCTAGAACAGTGCTTGGCAGAGAGACGGCACCCAGTCTTTGTTGAGTGAATGAATGGGCAGCCTTGGCAAGGCTCTGTCCTGTTCCAGACCTCAGTTTCCCCTCCTGGCTATCTAGAGGGCTGGATGGCATGTTTCTGACAATCTTATCTTGTTATAACATAGGGGTTAAAAAGCACAGATTCTGGAGTGGGGCGGCCTGGGTTCATTTTCAGCTCCATAAGCTGTGCAACCTTGAGCAAGTGGTTTGGTTCTCTCTGTGCCTCAGTCTCCTCACCTGGAAAATAGGGATTGATAACAGCACCCACCTGTCTTATACGGTTGTTTTAAAAATTTAATGAGATAATATATATCAAGTGATAAGAATAGTGTGAGGTACACAGTATGCTCAGGTAAGTGTTTGCTGTTATTATTAGAGTTAACGCTGAAGTCCAAGGCCAGAGTTTGCAAATTGGCACACCATAAACCCAGGCCAGCTTGCAAACATGTTTTGCTTGGCTCAGACAGTGTGTTTTTTTAAAGAATTACGTTGCCAACTTCTAAAACTCAAGAGATGTCATGTAAATATTCCTATTTCCAGATCCTCTTGGAAACTTGGAAGGTCTGGTTACACCAGGCCCACATTCCTGCACGGCACTGATCAGCTAGGGCTGAGTCATGGCTGCTCCCTTTGGATGGGTGAGAAGTGTCTCTTGATAGCCACAGTCCCCACCCAG